TAATAGTTTAACAGGATAAGCTTCGACAACAACAGGCACTTGGCTTAAAATAGACTTGTGGTTGTAGCCAGTGTTTTAATAAGCTTAGTTTTTAAACAGAACACTAGAAAAGGAAAAAAAATTGTGAACAATTTCCATAAAGCAAGATACGAAGAAGAACTGAATATTATAGACCAGATTGCAATTTCTAAGTAGCATTTGTGATGCTACAGAAGTGTTTTGCCCCCTTCTGAATTCCTAGTGAAAATACAATGAACTTTAAAACATCTTCATGGAGTAGTCCTTCTGAATTCCTAGTGAAAACACAATGAAATTAAAAACATCTTTACGGAGAAGTTATTTGGTGGTTTTGGGATATGATCATGTGGTGCTCTAAGAGAATTGTGATTTGTAGAGAGAGTGAGATTAATGATTTTATGTTAGGTCATTGGAAATAGTATGGTGATTGGTGAGGATGGTGTTCAAAAAATATGGTGAAATTAAAAAAATTAATTTCAAAAATTCAAAATTTAAATTTGACTACAAAGTCAAAAACTCTTTGTTAAAAGTGTGAGACTCAGAAAAATCCTCTCACATGGATTGTTGAAAAGATCTAACGAAAAGATGAGTTGAATGCCTATAGATATGCGAAGATGAACATAGTCGGTGCCACCTAATTGGGGTTGCCAGCCGGGGACACTTTGATGAAAAAGTTAGAAACTTGAATCGATGAAAGAAGATGAAGAAATCAAGAGTATTCAATGTGCTGTGTTGTGTTGCAGAGATTAGAAAGAGCCCTCTACCTTCTATGTCTTGCTTTCTTTTTATAGATGAGGGGTGTGATATTTGTCTCATGGGCTTTCTTATTTGGTTGGGGCCATTGTTAGGCCTTGTTTGGGTTAGCCCAGTAAGCTGATTTTTTTTTTTTTTTGGCTCCCACAATTGTCTCAAAACTTTCATTGTCTTCGGTAGAAGGAATGAGAGTTTTTATTGCCGAACTACGTTGTTCAAATAGATGTTAGCTTTTTAATAAAGAACTCTTTTGATAAATGAATAAAATGAATGAATGAATAACTATATGAATGAATGTATGTTTGAATGTATTAACGTATGTCTTGCTTCGAATTCAGAGGCTTTTGCTGATGGCTCTCTGTGTTGAGCACGAAGAGCGCTCCAAATTCAGAGGCTTTTGCAATGGCCAATCGTATTGAGCACGAAGGGTACTCCGAATTTAGAGGCTTTTACGATGGCCAATTGTGCTTAGCACAAAGGGCACTCCGAATTTAGAAGCTTTTGCGATGGCCAATCGTGTCGAGCAAGAAGGGCGCTTCAAATTTGAAGGCTTTTGCGATGGCCAATTGTACCAAGCATGAAGGGCGCTCCGAATTCGGAGGCTTTTGTGATGGCCAATCTTGCCGAGCACGAAGGGTGCTCCGAATTCGGAGGCTTTTTCGATGGTTAATCGTGCCGATCACAAAAGGCGCTCCAAATTCGGAGGCTTTGGTGATGGCTTTTCGTGCTGATCAATTTCTGACATTGCAAGGATTGTGAATAATACATCCCGTGTCGTTGATTGCCTGTACAAGATAATACAAACTTGTTAGGCACAAAAAAGTGAAAGTTGAAAAACTTACTCCTATGGTAAAGCATTAAAAAATAGCATCGCTTCATTGTAAGGAATTGCCGAGTGGAGCAAGTTGAAGCGGATTGTTAAGTTGATTTCTTGCCCTTGAGTTAGCATAAATTGTGGTTGTGCTGAGTCGGAGTAAGCTAGTCCTGCATTGTATACAACATATATTTGCCTCATTGCTTTCAAATGACATTTATTATTCAGAAGGAATTTGAAATGGATGCGAGCCAAAATTGCAGCATTACGCATTTCAGTGGGCATGTTCCGCATTGGGGAGAAGTGATGCGGGCTATCAGGTGGTTGGGAAGTCATCAAATATTTGTTAGTTGTTGAAACGCGCAAATTTAGGGTATGGAATTGGCAAAATCAAATCGTACTGATATGTCTGGAATGCTTCAAATAACTGGAAACGACTATTGGATTGTTGTGATAGGGCCTCAGACGGCGTAGATTTCATGTTGCAGAGTCGAAAGTAAAAGAAATCCAAGTTGTGGGTCCTGCCCCAGTTGGTGATAAATGGCCAAGGTGATAAATGAAGGATCGACGAAAATGGATGATTGTGGCTTAGCCTCATGAGACTACTGTTGAAATTGCATGCTGATCAGACACAATCTGACTGTTGATTTATCATTTAATGTCCCCGATCGGCCTGTTTGAGGATCCCAACGTGAGACTCGCAATTGGCAAAATTGGATCTCAAAAATGGAATCTACACGGCGAAAAACTATAAGATAGGCATTCTTGAAGTGATCGGACCATCTAATTAACCCAAATCTGATAAGATGCAACAGGGCACTTTGTGCCGAGAAGTGCCCAATAAATTCTTATGTCATCTTCTTCATGTAGCACATCGTGAAAGGCAGAATTTTTCAGATTCAGACTCATGACTTTGAGCCCTTATATCTCCTTCGTTTTAAGTCTGATTTTGACACGGTTTGTTTTGTTAGACTCGTCTCAAGGAGTATTTCACATTGATACGTGCAAAACTTGATTTTCACAACTTTGGAAATTTCAATTTGTTGAAAATTTGGTTTGCTGCGCAACTATAGGCTGATGTTGGTTAATTTTTGGCTCCTCTAGTTGGTGGGTTTGTACTCGTCAAGTCAACACGAACCTTTTGGTATATTCAGATGTTGATTTCGGCACCTCTGAAATTTTGACAAATTTGAAACCGAGATGCCAATTCTATGCCGAGACAATAGCGCTGAGCAATGTTGCTGTATTTCCGAGAATTAAATCATGAGATTTTTGCCGAAGACGTAGATGAATTAATAATGGTAGTTTTTGTTTCGAGAATGTCCAATATTGTGGAGCATGTTGTCGAGACATGATTTCAAAAAGAGAACGAATAAATCTGTTCTCGGCATCATGGTTGTGGCCAACATGATTAAAGATATATACTTGTCGTTCACGACAATTATCACTATTGATGAGCTTGATGATGAAGTTGTGGTGCCGAGCATTGAAAAATAGTCGAGTGGCTGCTTATTCAAGTTGTCGTGTAATGATGTTGCCGAATTGTGGAGTCATTGTGTTTTGATGTAATTTGGTTTTGGTGTTGTCGAGCAGAAGTGATGCCAAGAGAGGCAGCAAAGATGTTGAGTATCCTTGTATAAGGCATGGCATTGCCGAACAGCTTTGTAGCTTTGCTAAGCAATCTTTCATAAGTTGCGGTATTGCCGAAATGCACATGCATGGGTTCAAATGCTGAATAACTCTTGCTGAAATTGCTTGTTCGGCTTGTCCTCTTTGTCTTTGCTGAGAGCTTGGTTGGCAATGGTTGGTAACTCATTGGCTCTTTGATTTACCGAAACACTTGGTCAGCGACTCCACCTTTGGCTCACCAAAAATTAAAGATTACTGATAATAATGCTAGAAAGAGAGAGTCGTGGTCAGCCTAGAACATCTTGTTTGAGCCGAAAAAACAAGTCACCAATAAAGAGGTACTGTTGTTGAGCTTATGGTCAACCCAAATAAAGTGCTGACTAACAGCTATTGGTACTTAGCAACCTGTGTTGTCATGCTGGCCAAACAACTTTTACAGAGAGAAAGTAAAGACCCAAGTTTGGAGTCAAAAGAAATTGTTAGGATAGGTACATGTATGTATGTCAAGAATCAACTTTAAAACAAGCTTTACGAGACAAAAAATAAAAAAATAAATAGACAAAGACTCAGGGGTGAGTTTGGCCGAGCAATCTTGTTGAATTGCAGAAAAGATGCTCTTTCCAAGAAAGTGTAAAATCTATTTTTGGAGAGAGAAAATAAAGATGTAAAAGTAAATTCATGAGCTCTGTTTTATGTTAAAACTTTTCATCAAAATTTATCATGAACAAAAATTTCCATAGAGTTTGTAAGCACACAAAGATGTATATTCGATTCAAAAACCCATTTGAAAATAATTAAAAAAGTAAGTTTAATAAAAGAGAAGGCAAATCACCATCATAGTGTTGTTGAAGTTTTACTTACAATAACATATTTGCCATTTACTTCGTTGAACTCTCTTAGACGATTCTCACATATGACGCCAATTGTGAGATCTAGAAAAATCCTCTCACATGAATTGTTGAAGAGATCCAACGAAGAGATGAGCTGAACGCCTATAAATCTGCAAAGATGAACATAATTGGCGCCACCTAATAGGGATTATCAGCCGGGGACACTCTAATGGTAAAGTTAGCAACTTGAATAAAAAATAAAAAAAAAGACAAAGAAATCAAGAGTATTCATTGTGCTGTCTTGTGTTGCAAAGATTAGAGAGAGAGCCCCCTACCTTCTATATCCTGCTTTCCTTTTATAGATGTGGGCGTGATATTTGTCCCATGGACTTTTTTATTTGGGCTGGGCGCATTGTGAGGCCTTACATTTTTTTTTGACTCCTACATTAAGTTTTCAAAATTTACTTCTGATTTTTTTTTTAAAAAAAATAGGTTGGTTAAAAAAAAGAGGAAAAATAAGAAACACTTATTATTTTTTATATAATTTTTTTAATTGTAAATAATTAAATTTTTTTTTTAAAATGTCTGAGAATTTCCTTTTCCATATCAAGTAAAAATCCTTCACAAAAACGGCGTCGCACGCTATCTCACGGTATCACTGTGGGCGTAGTAAGTAAGCTAACCACAAATAGCTTTCCTTTTACAGACCACCACCACCACCACAATCAACCCTCCAACACAAATAAGAAACACTTAGTATTATTTTTTATATAATTTTTTTAATTGTAAATAATTAAATTTTTTTTTTAAAAATGTCTGAGAATTTCCTTTTCCATATCAAGTAAAAATCCTTCACAAAAACGGCGTCGCACGCTATCTCACGGTATCACTGTGGGCGTAGTAAGTAAGCTAACCACAAATAGCTTTCCTTTTACAGACCACCACCACCACAATCAACCCTCCAACACCAACAATGGCGGAGCCCAAAACGAAGTACGATCGTCAACTCAGGTACTTTCTCTCTCTCTCTGCTCTGCTTCTCAATGACCCTTTTGCCCTCCAACATTCTTCTTATTTTCTTTCTCCCACCCCATCCCCTTGCCCTAACCTTCTGATACTAAACACTCACCTTCCTACTCCACTAGTCGTTTTCACATTGCGTTCCGTTTGGTTCCAGAGAAAAATTAAGAAAACAAATAGAAATTAAAATTTCAGGTCCAATATAACAATATTTATTGCCTTTGGCTTGGTTGGAGGTTCGTTCTCCAATTTTTACGAATAGCCAAAACAAATATGATGTCATAAGATTGGGAAATTTGTTTTGTTGATTGTTATTGATCGATATTTGTTACTGGATTTGGGTAGATGAGCTTGTGAATTCGTGTTTTGACTTTTTATTTTATTTTAATGAATGGTATTTGATAGAGTTATTGCGTGAAGAAACAAGAGAGAAACAGGAATTGTAGATTAGTGTATAGTTGCTTGCTTGTGGGTGTCTAACTGTGTGTATATGAAATGGGTCTTGATGGTAATGAAATTATTAGGAGATTGTGTAACAGGTATAGGGTTTTTTTCCATGCGTTGGGCGCTTGATTTTTTGGGTGACATTCCTGTTTGCAGTTCATAGAATCCAGAGAAAATATGTATGACATTTTTTAGGGGAATTTGCTCTCAAACTTATTTAAAATAAAACACATTTCTCTTTATATTTATCTAAATTATATTATTTTAGTACTGGAGTGTGAAACTTACGGGCAGGGCATTTTTGGGGAGTAGCCCACTTCCCAGTACTCATTAGGGCAATTCTTTGCTTGGTTGAGCTCAGGAAAGAATTTCAGGACCTCATTGAGTTAGTTTTTAGGATTGATCAGTTTGTAGAAGCTGACTCTGTTGACCATCCGTTTTTATTATTTATTTCTTATTTTTACCAAGTTTTACTCTGGCTGCAGGTTATGGACTCAGAAAAAACATTCGAAAAATTATTTTATTTCTTCTTCTGCTTCTTTTTTCCCCTTAAATTACTTTTTCTTGTGATAATACTTCTTTGAAGAAACATAAGTAAAGTCATAAGTTTTAATATTTATTGCAGGATCTGGGGTGAGCAAGGACAGGCTGCCCTTGAAAAAGCAAGTATATGCTTGCTTAACTGTGGCCCTACCGGTTCTGAAACCTTAAAAAATCTTGTTCTTGGTGGTATTGGAAGTATCACCGTTATTGATGGTTCTAAAGTTGAAGTGGGTGATCTTGGAAATAACTTCATGGGTATGTGCCTTGACTATGGCATTTTATTCACTTCTTATATATCTGTTCTTATGTTTTACTCGTGGTGTTGGCAGTGGACGAGTCAAGTGTTGGGAAATCAAAAGCAAAATGCGTGTGTGCATTTCTTCAGGAGCTAAATGATGCTGTTAAAGCCAAATTTATAGAAGAGTATCCAGAGACATTAATTGAGACAAATCCATCATTCTTTTCTCAGTTTACCTTGGTGGTAGCCACCCAGGTGTGGATTTTTGGCATCATTGTTTTGTGTTTGTGATACTGTATTAAAATGTATTGCTTTTTTTTTTTTTTTAAAATATTTTGCTTTTTTTTTTTTTTTTTTTTTTGATCAGCAACTATTGGGTTGCAGCACTTCCCAGAAGCTTCTTTCAAGTAGTCTACATATTTACACAAGAAGGGTTCAGATATGTGATGGTTGGGTGGAGATTGAAAGGATGTTAGGTGTGGAGGGTTGAGTTCAGTGATTATCTACGTTGTAGGTTTTAGCAATTTGGGATCTTAAACAATTATAGGGTTTTTGATTTAGTGCAATAAATTTCAACTTTCGGAGGTGGTGCTGGAGAAATTGGTGGTCTAGTGATTTAGATTCAAGTAAAGATTTTTTGGTGGCACATTGATTTTCTGAGGCAAATATCAATAGAGATCTTGTAAATCACAGGCTACTTTTTTTCTTCTTGGAATATAGGTCAGGGGATTTAGTCTTGAAAAGAAATTAGTGTGTTTGGTTTCAATTTTTTAGATTAAATTTTCTGAAAATTGAGTTTTTTGTTTTTAGTGAATATTTTTAAAATTTTGGACAATTTTTTTACTTTTTTAAATGTACCTTACTTAAATGTATCTAAAAAGTAAATATTTTAATTTTTTTTTAAAAATTAATAAATACACTAGAATTCGAAAAATGTAATGAATTCTCGTATCTTTTTAATATATATTTTTGATATTTAGTGAATTTCTAAAGATTTTTTTTACAAATATTATACTTTTTAAGTGTTTTATATTAAGTGTATCTAAAAATTTAAAAAAAATTCAAAGAAAAACAAAAAAACACGGAAAACAAAAAATTTCGGCTCCGTTTGGTAAGAGTTTCGAATTCTAGTTCCACCTATTGATTTGAGTGTGTTGTTTGTTTTGAACTTTCAAATCATAATTCTACACCCATTTCTCAAAACTAAATTCGAAACATAATCATTATTTTTCAAAACTCATGACCAAACACATAACTCAAAACTCTTTTCAAAACTCAATTCAAATCAATATTTTAATTTTTTAAATATTTTAAATATTTTAATTTTGTTAAGATTTTAAATATTTTAATATTTAAATATGTTACGATTTTTTTAATTTTTTGAATATTTTAATATTTTAATTTCAAAATATTACGATTTTAATTTTTTAAAATTTAAAATATTTTATAAAAATAAATTCAAACTCTATTTTATAAAAATGTTTTTAAATATTTTAATTTTGTTGTTATGTATTTAGTTACGATTTGAGTGTAGAATTGTGAAAGTAGTATGGAGTTTCGAGTTATGTGTTTGGTTATGAGTTTTAAAAATAATTTATTAATTGAGTTTTGTTTTATGTGTTTGGTTACGATTTGAGTGTAGAGTTGTTTTATTATTTAAATTTTTACGATTTAAATTTTTTGAATATTTATTTTAATTTTTTACTTATTAAATTTTTTAGATTATTTAAATATTTATGATTTAAATTTTTTGAATATTTATTTTGAAAAAAAATTATTTCCTTTGTAGTATTTTCAATTAAAAAATTGATTAATGCTATTTTCTGTTAATAATAAATTTTTTTAATTGAATTTTAAAAAGAGTTTGGTTATGAGTGTTGATCAGAATTTTTAATAGTGTGAAAGTAGTGTGTTTTGTTATGAGTTATAACAATTTGAATTAAGTTTTGAAAACTCTTTCCAAAACTCATAACCAAACAAATTTTCTTACTCCATATGTCAAATTAAACTTTCAAAACTCAATTCCACACTTAATTCAAAACTCAACTCAACACTCTATTCAAAAACCATAACCAAATAAATTTTTTACACTCAAATCATAATTTCACAACTCACAAACTCAAAATACAACTCATACTCTCAAATCATATTTACAAAATTCTACCAAACGCAACCTTCAATTTTCTGAAAAGTGAATCCTGAAAATCCAAATAAAATTGGAGGTTGGTTGTGTTGGTTTGTCTTTTCTAACGTTGATTTTTCATGTGAGTTCATGCCCCATTGTTTAATTTTTGGTTCATTGTTATTTGGTGCTTTGATGCCTTTTCCCCCTCCTTTCTATAAGGTTGTATACAATTTGAATTTTTTTGGTTATTAAACTTTCATCTTTGATGTGGATGGTCTTATTGTACTGTCAGCTAGTGGAAGAGTCAATGGTGAAGTTGGATAGAATCTGTCGGGAAGCAAATGTTATGTTGATATTTGCACGCTCCTATGGCCTTACTGGGTTTGTTCGGGTCAGTGTGAAGGTAATGAGCCTGAACATATATGATTGCTTTTTTTTTTTTGTTTTGGGTTTGGTATAGTTTCCTTTTTGATGTTTTCTTTTCTTTTATTGAAAACAAAATGTCAAAGCAATGAGAAATTCAGAAAATTTCAATTTCTGTGAAAACAAGTTTAAAAAATTCAGAAAATAATTTTAAAATGTTTACTAAAAGAAGGGCATTTAGAAAATTTCCCAAAATTGGTTTGCCAAACAAGTTTTTCGAGTTAGGTTTGTTTTTTCTGTTTTCGAGAACCCAAACAGAAAATAAAAACAATACCAAACACTCATTAAATTGCTATTTAAAAATATTAGTATCAGGATGGTAGTGGCTATAGAAATTGAAGGGATGACATGGATGAAAACATTTTGATTCCTTATCAGAAGTCTCTTAGGTTTGCCAACCACGGATGTCTTATGTGGTTGTTTGCTTATATAAGAATGAAAAATTTTCTTTGCTCTTTCCATGGTGAGGTGGGATTTGATTCAGGGTTGTTTTGAATTGAAAGAAATGCAAGAGTAGAAACTAAGCCTAGCGGAACAACTGGGGTTAGGCCAGAGTCCATATACCTCACTTGGTATGTGGTTATGGGTTCAACTTTCCTTACCCCTAAGAAAATATCAGATTTGTAATTTCTCTAGAATGGAGGTGCTAATATTACTTTGCTTCTGTGAGGCAGGAGCATACAGTGATCGAGTCAAAGCCTGACCCAACACGTGTCCTGGTCAAACTCTCCATTTTCTTCCACGTGTCCCCACCTCACCGACGCCGTCAAATCTTTCCCCCCCCCTCTCTCTCTCTCTGTTTGGCTTTTCTGTGTGTTTATTTTGGCACATCAGTTACTGAACTGTAAAAGCTAATGGATTTTATTTTTTACCGTGTATCTAAGCAGCTTACATCTTAAGTGAGAAGCTGATTGCATGTTTATCAATGATAGCTTTGCAGAAACAATTGACTTGAATGTGGCTGATTCTGTTGTCCATAAACACACACCATATGTTATCATTCTTTTGAAGGTGGCAGATGAGTGGGCCAAAACTCATGGTGGAAGCCTTCCATCAACCAGGGAAGAGAAAAAGGAGTTCAAGGTTTGCACATTTAGTCGCACATTTCATCTTATCCTTTTTGTTCTATTGCTGTATACTACGGTGGCTTGATTGGGATGATTGGGACGTTGAACATCTTAGGAACTAATAAGAGCCAGGATGAGAGCAATGGATGAAGACAACTACAAAGAAGCGGTTGAGGCATCATTTAAAGTATTTGCTCCTCGGGGTATTAGTAAGTACATGATTTTAATGCATGTTACCCTTGTTTATCTGCATGAGCATGTAATCTACCAATCAATGGCTCACAATTAGGACTGACCTCAAGCCCAGTGTGAGCCTCTGATCTGATCACTGAATTTGCTGTCGTTATGATGGCCCATGCCAATGAGGTTCAAAAAAAAAAAAAAAAAAAAAACTAGAGAAACTAATATCAATGTTGCCTAACACAAAAGAAAACTCTAAACTTCAAATGGTTTTGCTTGGGAAGTTTTCTTGTTCCACACAAGGGCAAAGAAATTAATTAAAGATCAGGATCTGAACATCTAACATCTTCAGAATTCAGCTATAGAATGGTTTAAAAAATGGCTTGATATGGTACATATAATTGATGCAAAAATTTATTGGAATTGGAAAAGGGTCTTGCTAATGACAGCTCTAAGGTCTGTCAATAAGAACTACATAATGCCAAAATATTTATAATCCCAACATACATTATCCCAAATCACTTTTACATATTTTTATTCATTCTTTACAAAATTAAATGCACTTTATACATGTTTTCCAACGCTGTTTTTAGCATTTCCGTTGAAAAAATATTATGGCACTGATATATTACAAGAACAGTCTTGTTGGAATAAATCAATTGATGTCTTCTTGTATTGGTCAATCCCAAAACACATAGTGGTTGTTGATTATTAGACTGATTGCACTTGCATTAGTTTGATTTTTCGTATTCCCTTTCTTCTCATTTGCTCATTCTCTTGTTTGTTAAAGAACTACACCTGTGTTGTATTTTGTGCCTTGTATTTCACATAGCTGTTGTCAAGACTTGGAGAAAGGAAGGTGATCGCTGGCATAGATTAATATTTTAAGGTCTAAATTCCTCTTCAATTTTATGTATCCATCTACATCACAAAAATACAATTTTTGAAACAAACCTAAACCCACTTGAGTTGAGTTGGTTTGTTCTCTCTGCCTGTTGCCATGTCATCGCCTGTAATGCCACCTGGACACTGGACTAAGCTGTAACTTGCTGGTAAGGGATGTTGTCTAATTTATTTGGAGTGTTAAAAATACTGTATTATTGATTGTTATTGATTACAAGATTGATTGATTAAATTACAATTCCTATACAATCTATATATAGAAGAAAATGTGGTAGTAGGTGTAGTGGAGGTGATAGTGGGTTAGGTGAAGTGGAGTGTGTGGTGAAGTGGAGGTAGGTGAAGTGGAGTGTGTAGTGGAGTAGGTGAAGGTAAAGAAGGGAAATTCTAACATGGAGCGATACTAGTGTGAAGAAATTCATGCATAGTTGTTGAGGCATGGTGAAGATATTATATGCTAACCTCTGTCATTGTGAACCTGTTGCATTGTTTCTATAGACAATCAGCCCTCTTAGGGGAATCCAGTATTGAGAAAAATAGCTGTCACTTGGCCAAGTCGTGGTATTTTGAACTTATAGATTATGGATGAATATGAGAATTAAACCTATTTGAATAAATCCTACCTTTTTACAGTTGCAATGATAAGGAATTGTGTTTATATTCTACCTTGAGTACTTTTCATTTCTTTCATGGTTCATCAAATATTTTTCTACCATTGTTTTTTCAGTTGGTTTAGCAAGTCTGCCTCCAATAAGTCCCTCAACCTTACAGTTTTTTATTCTATTTAAATTCGACTGTTCTTGTGTTTTGTCCAATCATCAAGAAGCTTTGGGATTTCAATCATGATTGTAATATGTGGCAGATAAAGATTTTCAGACCCCCCGAGTGCATTCAAAGTATGCAATGAGCATCTTTGTGTGTATTATGCAGTCCGCTTTGCAGTTGAAGATGATAGGAAAATGTGAATTTTTTTTGGGCATGCTTTTTAATTGATTTTTATGGGCAAGTAACATTTTTATAATTTAGCCTGATATTATAGGAGCAGAATTCGTAATTTTAAGTAGTTGGCAAATATGGCTTATGGAGCTTCCATCCTACTGTAATTAACTGTGAATCATACCTGTAGCACATAATTAGATGGTTAATTTTATCTCATGTTTGGCATGTCAGGTTCAAATCTACAGTGGATAATTAATGATAGTCGTGCTGATGTTGATTCTAATTCATCTGATTTTTGGGTGATGGTGGCAGCTCTAAAGGTAATTTCTCAGATTTTGGAAGCCTGATTGTTTGTGGGGCTGATTCTTAGTTTGTGAATATTCTCATGTATTTTGCTCCGCTTAAATCACTTGGGCTCTTGGTTTGTTTTTTAGTACTTGTGCTCTATGCCCAATACTCTATGTAGCCTTGTGGATTGCTGATCACCTTTACAATTGGGGAAGTGCCTTTGTGTGTGTGGTGGTGTTGGGGGGGGGGGGGGGGGGGCTCAATTAAAAGGAACTAGTAAGGTTGGAGTAGGCAATCGGTACTATTAATGGCTGCATGTTAATTATCTACCTTTTGAGCCTGTTTGTAGACCATATTAATGACACCCATCTTTTTACTTACCTTTTCTTTGATGGATATTTTAAAGGATTTGCTTCTTGCTTTTTTCATAATGCTGTGTTTTCCATCTAAAACTCGGTCCCTCTTTTGTTCTCCTTCTCTCTTGCCTGCATGCATATTTTTGTTATTGTGTCTGTACTAGTCATCCTTGACTGTACAAGCAGTTAATAATACCTTGAGAACCTAAGTTTTAGAATCCTGATCAGTCTTCTGGAGATGACCCTGTGATGATCTTGTTAAAATCCACCTACTCACACCACTACCACCTCCACTTCACCTACTCCTTACCTACTACACACTCACCCTCTTCTATATATAGGAATCATGAATCATTGTAATTGATATCAATATATCAATCAATAATAATACATACAATTTATTCTCTCTCTTTCTCTATACATTATTTCTTACAGATCTAAAGATGGCAATTTTCAAAATTATCCAGCATATGCCAAAATCAATCTCTTTGTTCTCGTATGTTTATGTGTGCGCACAAGCCTTGAACAGAAAAAGTGTGAATTATCAACAAAACCAGTTTTATATTTTTGATGGATCAGGATTAATTAATTGTGATTTTCCCCCCTATACCTGTGTTAATTGAGGAGTTAAATAAAAATGTTACTTGCATTCATTCATTTAAATGTTGAAAAAAAAAAAAAAATCCCTTGCTTTCTTTACATTTCAGGAGTTCATTGCTAATGAAGGTCGGGGGGAGACACCTCTTGAGGGATCAATACCGGATATGACATCTTCTACCGAGTTTGTGACTTTCATTTTCTCCAAGGACATCCTCTTTCATTTTCTTTTTTTCTTTTTATTTTCTTGTTTCTTTTTTAAGAAAGGAAATCTAATTTGGTGAAATTTGAGTTTGTTTTATTCCTTTGCAGGTTATATGTAAACCTGCAGAAGATCTATCAAGCCAAGGCTGAGGCTGATTTTTTTGTTATTGAGCAAAGCGTCAGAAATATTCTAAAGAAAATTGGGAGAGATCCAGATAGTATCTCTAAGACAATGATAAAAAGCTTCTGTAAAAATGCCAGAAAGCTCACAGTAAGCACATTCTGTTACTACAGTTTTTTTCCCCAATTCAATATGCTACCAGCTATATCTCCCCTGATTTAATAGAAAACTAATTGTCCTTATTGTTGATGTTATATCCACTCTATTTTTTTTTTTATTTTTTTTTTTTTATATCATATGCTAAGTTGTAAAGAAAAAAACAACTATATGATTGATGTACCCCTCCCCGAAGTGACTGTTTAGTGTTGAAGCTTATCTAATTATATTCTTTTAGGTACTATGGGCAACTCACTTTTACTTTATCCTATCTTCACATTAATACTCTGGTCATAGCTTCATTATCAATTCTCTTCTTGAATCAATGCAATTATTTCTGTGTCTTTTGTTTTTACGGCATTGTTGTTGTTAGCTGACTACGTGGAGGTAGTCCTTATGAATTATGATAGAGGCTTCCATATATATGAACATATCAGCATGAAAAAGAGCATTATGTGATTTGTGATTATATGTTACCTAACCAAAAAAAATTGTTTGTTACTATGTCAACAAATACCTATCTATAGGCATCCAATGAAATCTTTAATATTCTAATATTAGTATAATTCCTAATAAATTCAAATTTCCAAAAGTCTTCAATTCTTTTCCTCATCCAACACTTTTTCTTCCCTCACCACATCATTACCCAGATATTTGAGTAGGAGTCTTTCAATAATTTCATTTCTTCTTTTTAGGTATGCAGGTACCGTCTCCTTGAGGATGAATTCAACTCTCCTGTACTACCAGAGTTGCAGAAGTATCTAACAGATGAAGACTACAGGTATGTGATGCCATCTTTTTACAGTTACAGAAATCATCCATCAATAAAATGCACTACATCCTACAGATTTGAAAAGTAATTTGTGATGTTTATTTGAACTGTTAATAGCTGCTTGTGTAGACTCAATATGTAGAAAGCTTCCTGATGTGCAAAACCGTTGGCCAAAAGAAAGCTGCTTAAATTTACATAAAGCAAAGTAATTCACTTAACAATGTTTATTAAACACAATAGATTGAAAACAAAAGAACGAACCCCTGGAAATCGATCTCTTTTGGGTTCTGTGGACAGGAACATTTAATTTCGACTGGATATCTACAAGATTAGTTTGAGAGAGAGAGAGAGAGCTGTTGATTTGAGGTGGCTAGTTATAGTTGGTCTGACTTTTTTTGTTTGGCTCTGGTATCAGTGATCATTTATGACATAATCATACATAGAGTCTATTGTTGGAGACTCTTATATCAAGGGATTTTAAAGATATCTCAAGCTCCTCATCTGCTCACAGGGGAGACCTGGCACTCTGAGCTCTGTTCTGACAGATGCTTTTGCCAATAACTAAAAGGCCGATTCATAAGAGCAACTCCAACAGTGTAGTATTTAGGTGTAGCGGTGTTATATGGTATGAACTTATAATAGCAACAAAAAAAATAATAATAATAAAAAATAAAAAAATAAAATAAAAAAATCACTCCAATACTACATTGCTGGAGTTGCTCCAGGGGATTGTGATTTTTCTTTTTCCTCAACCTATTTTGGAATCTGCACGTGGACTGATTATACTCCCTATTGCCCTGAAGTGACTTCTGCGGCATCTCTACTGTTGAATCTAAAGCCTATGATTCCACTAGCAAACAAGCCATTCGCTTCTGGACCAGGGTATTTGCCCACTGCTCCTCCTAAGAACAGTAATCCCGCATCTATTGATTCAATTGGGCCTGAACGAATCCTTCATGGGTTGGAAGAGAAATTTCCTTGCCATTCATTGTGAACTTGACGTAAGCACTATGAGATTCGAAGAATAGTGCTGCGTGTCATTGGTTGTCTTTCTGGGTTACCACTTTCTTTTATACATGAATTGCCATTGATTACTATTTTTCTGATTTTTTTCATGAAAATAAGAAAAAACTTATTTTCCTGATTTCCCCTCACTCAATTTTTCAGAACAAGGGACCAATCATCCCTTACATAATAAAAAGGGATGAGAAAAAGCACAGACGAATGGCTGTATTTTTGTGTCTTTATATTAATTGATTGGAGTATTAGTTAATTTACAATCTCAATTACAGATAGCTGTTATTATCAGAAGTTAGTGGTGTTTTATCTGTTTGGTTTGCCTTGTAGTTTTGGGTCATATGTTTGGAATTATCTCGTAGTTAGTGGCGGTCAATCTGAGAAAGCTTGTATTAACTTTATTGACTCCCGTCACTTTGTGAACTACTGGAATTTATTTTTCAAATTAATCCAACGTGAAAAAATACGGTTAAAAAAATGAATGCACGTTGCCTTGCTTATCGCTGACAGTTTTATTTAAATTGTGAAAGTCCACAATCTTTAGTTTTCTTCTTTATGTTGGCAGTATCGCTGTAGGGTTCTATATTCTGCTTCGAGCTGTTGACCGGTTTGCCACAAACTATAACAGTTTCCCTGGCCAATTTGATGGGTAACACCTGATGCTACAGACCAACTTCCATATTTATTTTTTAAAAGCTTTTCTGCCTAGCTCATGACCTGAAAATGCATAACTAATTTTCAACAGAGAGATGGATGAGGATATATCTCGATTGAAAATTACAGCTGTTGGCCTACTTAGTGACTTGGGTTGCAATGGCTCAACCTTGACAGAAGACCTTATCAATGAGATGTGCAGATACGGTGCTGCAGAGCTCCATGCAGTTGCTGCTTTCATTGGGGGAATTGCATCGCAGGAAGTTATCAAGGTCTCATTTTCTATCTTGATTTCACAATAAGCTCATTTGCAAAATTATGTTGTATTGGTGGTTCAGTCATTTCTTGCAATTTTGCTGGAAGAAGTTAGTATATATATATATATTTTTTTTTAATTGTGATCTGAGATATCATTTGTTGTCTTCATTACAGCTGATCACGAGGCAATTTGTTCCTATGTCTGGAACTTTCATCTTCAACGGCATTGACCACAAGTCTCAGCTTTTGTCATTATAGTGGGTATTTGGGTTGGAAATGCTTTACAAGCAACTCGAATCAGCTTTTGTTTCTCATTCGGACCAGTGCAACTTAGTCCTAAACCCTGGAGACTGATGGATCTTCACTCTTTTAGTTTGATTGGCAGAACAATGGTCTTGTTTTGGCAAGGCTATATGAGATCCAAATGATTCTTCTTTTATTAAGCAGTGGGGCAGGTTATATGGGCTCCTCTGAAAGTTTTTGTAACTATTTCATTTGAAAAAAACTATGAGAGAGAAACTAAATAGAATACAAGGAAAAGGTAATCTAGTTATAGAATTTGACATGGATTTGAAAACATGTTGTGAGGCTCCTCACAATGATGAATCTAATTCGTAGATTTCAAATACTGAATGCTTTTTTTTGAATGATTTTGTTGGGAATATCGTATATGTATAGAGCATTTCTGTTGCTATTAAGGAGGTGTGGAATGTCGATCATTTTGTTTCTAAAAACAATCCCATGGGTCATACTGGTCCTCACGCAATATGCTTCTCTCTCTCTCTCTCTCTCTCTCTCTCTCTCTCATAATAAAATGAGTAAATGCCCCAATGTATTTGACACCATTCTTACGCACCAAGGATTGCAACGTATTCAGGCTATACGAGGTTATAAAACAACATAGCAAAGACTACAGTCAGTTAATTTCAAAGCTTCCATGAATGGAACATGGGGTGTGAAGGAGCTTGTAACCTCTAGAATGGAAGTAGTCCAATGATCATATAGCAAAATGTTAACACCACTTGCTAAAATGAAATTCATGACCCCACCACAGTTACCCTTAAAAACTTTTTAATAGAGTTTAAAAATATGAAAAAGAGCATGAAATGCAAATGGATAAGGCAATCAGATGATCCACATCATAGTCACAGGCGGAGATTACTTCTCTTATTGCAGATTAAAAAGATTGAAAAAACAAAAAATTGAGGAACATACAACAGAAGGGGAGCTTTAAACTGAGAATTCTCTCTGCTCAATTCACAAAAACAAAAAAAAGGAAAAAAACTATTGTATTTGATGTGAATGCAATGTCTAATGCTGGCATATGAACTTTGCATGATCTCTGAACTGCAGTAGTACCTTGATTGTGTGAAGCTAATCCTGAGCAGTTGCAGAAACTTTCTTGGCAGGATTGTACACACTATATTCACCAAAGTCTCTTCTACCACTGGAAAAAAAATTTGTCTAACATCAAATCCTTTGCATAAACCAACAAAGATTCAGTTGTCAAACATGTTTATCCATTTTTCTAAAATATAAAGATACAACCTAGAGCATAGTCAAGAAGTTAAAACTTGCATCAATAGCTGTGTGTGATTCAATATCCAATCCGTGCGCAATGGAGAATCTATGCCTACTAGTTATGACACCCAATTATATGCAATAAACAAGAATTAAGCCTTTTGAAGCAATATTTCCTATGTTTCTGCAACTTCCCCTCAAACACAAAAATTGCACTTCTGAACAAAAAAAGTTACACAAATAAACATGATGCAAGTTTTGGATACAACTCTACAAAAATTACACATAAATACTGAACAAAAAAGTTTCCTTTCAGCAGTCTTCTGAGAGTGATAAGAACAAAATATCTAGTGTTCATTTTCCATTCTCAACTCAATTGGTTAATATCTGTCTGTATAAAATTTGTAGATGAAAAAACTGTGGACTGTGTTATTTAAATCATTTACCTAAAGAAGCAGATATGGTGGAGGCATCAGTTGCAGACTTGCAGTCCTGCAGTACCAGTATTGGCAATGACTACAAAATCCTTAAAATCTAAACTTCAAAGACCAAGATATTAGACAATCCAAATTCACACCTAGAAATGGATTTGGAAGGGAAGCCCACTTCCAAATTCAATCAAGATATGAACATCAAAATGCAACCCATTGACCCCCAAAAACATAATTCGACCTTCTATTTTTTAGCATAACATTCTTATGCATCTGACTTGATAATAACTATCCAAAATATACAAAGAAGATGCAGAGGATAAAAAGAAAAATCAAGAAGCAGTATACCTGTGCATTACGTCCCAGCCAGCAGGTAAAAAATGAGGATGGACAGCTTCAACAAAGACTTGTCTCCATCTCTGGCAAAACTGACTAATTCCATCTTCCCCATATCCTTTCAGTAGATGATCCACAACTTGTTTCCCATGTGGTCCATGTCCCAGTAGTGATAGCTTTGGATTATGTTTAGGTGAGATAGTTCCATCAGAAACTGAATTTACTGTACCATTCGATGGACTTATACTTTCATTAACATCAGTATCCACAATGGAGATGCATTTAGTCTCATAAACTCTACTTCTGTCAGAGTCAGTGACCTCGTTATTATCAGCCAAGGTTTCTGCATTAACGTCCAGATCAGAACATAAGGTGAAGCTGCTTACATCCATATCCTCTGCTGCCAAAAGGTTACTATCTTCTTTGCTACATGTTTTTCCTGTAGAAGCAAGTGAATCACAACTCTCCTGCTCCTCTGGAATGACACTCTTAGTAGACTTTTTATATGCTGATCCCCTCTTTTTCACAAGGCGTCGTCTCTCATGAGGAGTCATTCCTACTAGCAGAGCTCTTTCCAAATCTTCCTCTGATATTTCCCGCCCTCCATAATACTTCATGACAATCTGAAATCATGAAATAATAGCAACTAGATAACTCTCCAAAAGTTTTCCAAACTCAAACTAATGAAAAGATAAAGAAAATCATGACCCTGTGCATGAGGCTCCCGCTAAAGCAGGGGGTCTAGGAACGGCAAGATGTCCGTGGGGTAAGGCTACATACATCTCCCCAGACTCCATAGTGGTGGGAACCTCATGCACTAGAACTGCCCTTTAACTCATGAAAATAAAAAATAGTTCCAATATGTAGTTAATGGAAAACATTAGGTACTAACATTTTTCTTCAATTTTAAACATGCATAGAAAAAGGAGTTCCTGACACAAATTATGTTTATTTAAATAGTAGCATATTTAAATAAACATGCATAGAAAAAGGAGTTCCAAGACATTCTTATCATGTTCCATTAAGTGACTAAGTTTTTTGTTACCCTAACCAGTTTACCTCCTTTAAACACAGTGAGAAGAACACTAGGAAGGGGCAAAATCCACAAGAATGTGCTACTAATGCCAGGTTCCCGACTCTTGTCAGGCAATGAGCATCATTTTAACCAATGCATGCACAAATAAAGATTGACGGGAAAATGTATATTGTCTAAACAGTGTCCAGATGCATATTGTCCAACAACAGAAAGTAATTACAAATATAACATCTTTACTACAAAAAAGGAAAAAAAGAAAAAGAAACTGCAATAAAGTTCAACACCTGAATCAGTTCCTCGCGGCGATTGGATGGCATTCTCTGGCCATGGCGTAGGAGAGCCATAGCTGCCGTTCGCAATTGTAGAGGAGACACACCTGTCCCATCATGAGATGCAGATGTCCCAGATGCATCTTGGGTTTGTCTAGAATCAACTACTTTACGAACGAAAAGTGGTATTCCAAATTCTGCAGCAATCTTTTTCTTATACTTCTCAGCAGCAGCATGAGCAATTTCATGACAGTCCACACAAAGTAAGACAATATCATGAGAACGATGGCTTTTCAGATGCTCTGGAAAGTGCATTCTGTAGCATGATGGTATTATTCGGTAGCGTAAATAGTGATTTCCTTCACCACAGCCAACACATATATTTTTCTTACTATGAATGTAGAAGTCATTATCCTCATCTTCTGGACGACCTTTAGGTTCAAATAAAAGCATAATGGCAGGTGGATTCTCATCAACAATTTTTGCTAGATCTCTACGAAGATACCTGCAGGAGGTAGATTAAACAAATTCGAAGTTCAGTAGCTCATGTGTATATAAATATAGACATATGTAGATGTTGTATATATGTATGTATGAATAAAGTACAAATTTATACACAAATTTAATTGACCTATTATGTAGGTAATAATGTAAGTATGTAGGCATATATGTATGCATGTACAAACACAATTTTAATTAAATCAATAGGAAAAGAAGTATCCCACTAACCACTCAAGCTTTCTGCGATCACAATAGCATAGTAACCGTCCATCATTTGCATAGATCCTACAATTATGATAAACAGGAGATTTGCAAGAAAATTTTTGAACAAATAGCTCTCGAGATGCCTTCTTACCAAGTTGTTTTGCATTTCTAAATCCGTTTTGTTTGGAAACGAGCCTACTTGCTAGTATGAGGTTATTTCTAGACAACAAAGCATAATTATAAACAGTCAGAGGGCAGCTCCCATTTGGACCCAGGTGGTTTTGAAGAATCAGTTGAAAAATATCTTCCAGGTTGTTTATCTCGTCTTGGAACAAATAATCAAAGTCTTCCAAATGACTACAAATAACAGGTGATGGAGATTGGAGAGAAACAGTAAGATTTGAAGAATCAATGTTTAAATCAGCTTGGGATACGGAGTCATAAATTTCTGTTTCAGATGCTGGAACTTTATGCACAAGACTAATAATAGCATGATCTGATAATACATATCTCAAGCTCTCATCATGAACGCGTGCCTGAAAGGGAGAGTACAAAAAAATGAGCCCAGTGCATATAAATAAATTTGCAATTTCCCCCAAACACAACATAATAAATATATAGTACTGCATGTTGTATAAAGAACTAATTCTAATTTAGAAGAACTAAAGATGCTACAAAGATGCTAAGATAACACAAACCATTAAATCCCTCCAGGTACACAATCTTCTCACTAGATCCTGAAACTGAATGAAAAATTCATGGAAAGATTAGGCACATTTAGACGGGGTAGCTTTTATTGATACCTAAGACACAATATTAGAAAGCACACCTGAGTGTCACTAAAATGTGATGAAAGACCTCCTTGATCATTCAAATTACGAGAAATAATTGATGAAGCAGCAGACTCTCCTGGAGAAGCCTCAATCTCTTTAGAGAAAAGTTGCAGACAAATTGCATTTGAACGCCGGCTGGCCTCGAGAACAAAACGGAATTTGTCATCGGGAGAAGCTGAATTTTCTGATAAACTAAAATATTTAGAATTTTGATGCTATGAAGAGTACAAAATACCAAATTAAAAAGGTTGTATGCTACAGACACTATGCTTGAGCCTAAGTTGGTAACAAACAATACGACTGTTTTCAGTAAAACGCTACAAAACAAGAATAATTTGTGTACCACACGAACCTACATGCAATAAGCCAATAACTATTTTCTTTTCCATCTCTGAGGGATACCTATCAGTAGCAATGTTGCAAGAATAGTGGAAAAATGTACCTACTTACTAAACCAAAACTTAACCAGCCTAATCACATAATAAATTTCACTGCCAATGCAGGCAGACCTTGTAATGCTTTACTAGAAACACAGACATGAGATACAAGCCATACCACTGTCCTGTTGTATTAGCTCGGAAGCAAGACAATGCGCAATATACAACAAATAATGGGCATCCGTTAGAGCATATTGCACCATTTCTACCGGCAGTGGACGCTGTCTCCAGTCTTCACGCTACAATTTGAAGAGAGAACAAATAAGTCACAATGACTGTTTGATAAAAAACAGTGTCATTTACAGGCTTTGAATAACCAAATGTATGTTTTTAATCTGTTGCCTGTTGAAAGAGCCTAAGATGCCAATAGGCTTATGCATCAAGAGCAAGACTTACAAAGCACAAGTGCATCTCCATAGAAGTCACAAGACTGGAAATTCAATATTAAATTTCAAATAATGTGAATTTATACTCATTAATCACTTCGTAGGCCTTTTAATTTATGATTTCTAAAGCCTAAAAAATTTTATTTATAAAAATAGCTTAACACTTCGAATTTATTTATAAATGTGTCTTTCTAAAATAGATATTAGAACTTTTTGTTGAATCAAAATCCTCTACGTCCTTTGGTATCACCTTATCTATCCCCATAATTTTATTGGGCCGCATCATCATTTGGGATAATTATAAAAACATGTGTGAAGGAAGGTTTCTTTAGCAATGGATTCATTATTTATCAAAAGTGATTATGTAGACCAATAACATTAAGGGGACAGAGAATGAGGTACATTAAGGAGGCAAAAGATCTACATTCCCTTTTGTACACACTTCTTTTTCAGTACATAGGATGTGGAGTCCCCATTATTTCCATGTCGTCCTACTATCATAAAAGTTGGTGTATTGGCCCAAATTGTGGTAGTGCCTCATTAATGTGTCTGCTCTCTACTTAATTTTTGTGCTAATGTTTGATGAATTTTCTTCTCTTCTTTGGATGATTCCTTTTCCTCCTTCACACACATTTTATTCTCTCGAACAAGTTTCTTTTCCTTTTCACATACAAAAGTACATAAGCTAAGAAAATAACACATCATACAATCACTGAAAGCGGATGATAGAATATGCATAAACGTAAGCCCAAGTCCAAACCTGTAACTGTTTGTTTGTGATGACACCACAGTATGTTTCAAGTAAGTATGCTAATGATTTTTGGGGCTTCAATAGCACGTCACAAGCCTGCAATATATCAACAGCCAAGTCAAATGACATGCCACACAATCACAATATTCAGAAGTTGTAGATAGTATAAAATATCTAGAAGAAGGAAACATCTCCCCTTCAAGGCCTCCCATCTCCATACCCCCAGTTTTTACTCAAAATTCATTTAATCACGAGAAAATCCAAATAACCCATATTGCGTAAGAAAACAAGAAGCATAATTAAGCATTAACATCTCACCTTTGCAGTATCAAATAAATTAACAATGTAAATATGAAAATCTCTTTGCAGCCAAAGAACATCATTGTCAGCACCATGAAACACCTACACAGCAAAATTTATTCCCACTAATCACCAAATTATCATAACATCCAAAAAAAAAAAAAAAAAGAAAAGAAAAAAGAAAAAAAAAACTTGGGAAGAATAAAATTCCAACGGAATTATTAAATAATACAGTTCACACTGAAGCCACACGAAGGAGGCCAAATGCTAATGTACACAAATATATGCATATGAAGATTAGTTTGATGTTTTCCGAAAAGTGAAGTTGTGTCAATGTTTTTAATATCCAAATTTATCCACACAAAAATTACTTTCTTACCGAGCAAATGACTTTTATAAGGGGAAACATCATACATCTTATTTATAATAACTGCTCACATCTTGGTAATTGCTAAAGGGTTCTATTTTTTCACGACTATGACTCAACCGTAAATAGAAGGAAAAGGAGACCAACAAATGGAAGAAGGAAAGGAAGTGGTGCCAAAAATCATGTCGTTCAGGTTATTGTTAGTTTCAGTCATGGTGTTGAAGGATGGAGTGCTATTCTCCCTGAAATCTATTCTCGCAAGGTACTATTAGTCTATTACTACCCTCCTCTTTTCTTTTATATTCATTCAAGGTAAGTGCACTGTTCATTCTTTGATGAACCTCTTTTATATTCATTCAAGGCAAGTGCACTGTTCATTCTTTGATGAACCAAAAAAAGCTTGGACATGTTAGGCTAAATATTACAATTATGGATCTGAGACAAAGCCACTTTCGGGTGCGTTCACTCTGGACCATGTTGCAGTGTGAGTGTTTTTTCTTATTATGTTCGGTTGTTCATTAAAATTTCATTAATTGTATTTGTGGCTTAAGGTATGTTTTTGGGGTTTTTCTTTGAAGGTAATGCTCCTAATCCAGATGATTTGATAGTACAGTGTGAGGGTGTAATAACTAGTATATACATTGTGTTCATTCTGCCAATTATTGATCCTTCTTGATGGTGAATTGATCTTACGATTTTGTGAAACATTTAAATTTCACAACCTTTTCATTGGTCAACAGGAAAATGGATGAAAAGAAGAAAAAAAATGTATATTTGGCAGCATATATTTTTTCAATTTTTTTTTTTTCCTTTTAAATGTTGAATATAGTATCGCTCACTCATCGAGTGTGTGTGTGTATATATACCTTCTAGCAAGATATAATTACTTCTAACATTAACGATTGTCAATTAGCAGTATTGCCTTCTTTTCTCAGTCTTGTCAAATATGATACTAACTGATATAACAATTGAATATATTTTCTATCTGGTATAAAACATTGGATTTTCATATGTTTTGTTATGATACCTAGCATATTTAACGGACCAATAACTTCACAAGATACAGAAATCATGACAAAGCACAATGTAGTCCTAAACTACCTTACAAATTGCAGGATTGGCAAAAACAGGACCAAGAATACCCATTACATCATGCAGAGCAATCGTGTCGACCAGAAAATCTTCCCTCCGAGTAGATATCTATTCAAAATTCATACTATAAGTGCATGAATAAAATAGACAAACACACATATACAGTCCAAAAAGAGAGACAACTAAGGTTTTTTTACCTGTATAAGAGCTGTAAAGCCTAAAAAGGATCGCAAGCTATGCTGTTCAGTATCAACAGCAAACACTCACCTTTGTCCAAAAAAATTCACAACTACTAGCAAGTTCCTGCAACTGCGACTCTTTTTCAATCCAAACATACGAATCGCTCAATTCCAAATCCACATTTCCATCATCAACGAATTCGAATTCGACTCGATCACTCTTCAATAGAGCCTCAATCTCGGCTTTGTAAGGGTGTTCGCTACTCAAATTCTCTGCTAAAAACATCACCAAATTTAACTAGGGTTTAACGAATCTCTATTTAGCGAGGGTTTTAGAGAGTGTGAGAAGCAAATGAGTTTACCTTTGTTGTGGTTGAGGTGTTTGAATGCAGAGAATGAGTTATCAGCCAAGACTCGCTTGAAAGCGTCCTGAGGCTTTGGTTCTGTTTTCAAGTAACAAGTGTTTCGAGATTGTTGTTTTTGCTTTCGTTGCTTTCGATACTGTGCGGTGATGAAGACGGAGATTGCTGCGAAGCAAGCGATTGTCGCGATCGTGAATGCGATTTTGATCTTCGTTTTGTTTTCCATTTTCGTTTTTTCTGTTTTTTTTGTTGTTGATTCTGTTTTTGTTTTCTCTGTTTTATGAAACAGTCTCTCTTTGCTGGAACTTGAAAGCACAGTTCGAAAGAAGGAAGACGGTAGTGTACGTTTGTGGTTGTATGTTTTGTTGACCACGTACGCGGCAACAGGTTTGTGTGGCCCAGTAGATGGAGAGCCCAATGGGTAGATGCTCCAAGGGAGGGCTGGTAGCCCAAGTATGACATATCTTAAATCAAACAAAACCAGTTTGTTAGGAATTTTGGAACAAACTCTTATATATATTGCTATTAGCATGAAGTTTAAAAGTTAAACTAAACCAGTTCGTTAGGAATTTAATATGAAATTTATTTAATGCACTCTAAAATCTATACTTCATAATTCGGCCAAGGTGACTCTAATGTTGTGTTTAGTTGGGGATTTGGGAGGAGATTTGGAAAGGGAAAGGGAAATGAAAATGGTAACTGAAATGTGAATAAATCATGTCTATATTTCACATAGTTTCACACACCCTTTCCCTTTCTCTTTCCAAATCCCTCCCCAAATCTCCCAACCAAACACAGCATAAGTAATTCATGTTCAGTAATTATTGAGATCTTAAGTACCTGATTAATATAATTATATATTAGAAATTTTATAAACATTAGAATCAATTACAATACTGGCGGTAGAAAATATAGATTGAACAACATGATTAGAACAATCTTTTTAATGGCGGGTTTCTGATGTGTATGATCATCATTATTTTTTTGTGATAGTCAAATACTTGTGCTATATACATATAAAGTTGTTTATTTGCTATATATCTTCTGTTCCCATTTCATGTTCTCTCTTATTGTTATGTTGTCAAAATTAAATTAAATTAAATACAACCAAAAGAATGAAATTGGAATCCGGAGGCCTAGATGGTAGAATCCCGCAAGCTGGAGAAAAGTAACCGTTTTTTCAGTTTTCAAAAGTTCCAGACCAAAAAAAGAAAAAGTTTTCAAAAGTTTATTACCTTTTTTTCCTGTGTGTCTTTTATTCCCAAACAAAGAATTCACTGCAAATCATGTAAGATGGCTTCCATGATCAAACCACGACTGGAAGAAAATGATATCTGTTCAGAAGTCATGGAACCCATTTCCCTTTCTGACCCACCCGATGTCGAATCTCCACACTGTTCGGTAAATGATGACAAAAATAATGTTCAAACTGTTGTTCTCGAACAGAACAAGAACATTTTGGTTACTTTGTGGGAAAGTCTGATTAGGATGAAAAGAGTTGCCGAGGATCAATTGCTACAACATTGCACTGGTGACCGTGTTGATAGAACTAGAGCATACCATGTTTGGCCAGGAAACAATGTACACAAAATTTTGCTTTACTTAAAAAGGAATTCTCAAAATTTTAAATTTTTTTAAATTGTTGGTTGAAATTTTTTACAATTGTTGTTTAATGCACAGGTATTTTTCTTCAGAGGACGACTCATTTGTGGCCCGGATCCAAGAGGGTTGCTCTTGACTGCTGTTTCTATTAGCCTTTCAAGTTGGATTTTTTCTGTTTATGTTTCACAAGATCTGCCAAATCGCCCCGGTCTCATAATCATCTTTTCTACAATTTTAACCCTAATAGTTAGTCCTTACCCCCAACTTTGTTTCATCAATTACATACATATTTGTATTTATAGATATTGCTTTAATACTTTCCTTTGGTACAATTAATGTTTTAATGATTTTTTTTTTATTTTGTTTAAATTCTTGAAAATGCAGGTTCTTGTTAACTTGATAGGGGTTAGTATGATTGATCCGGGCATTATTCCCAGAAATGATCAATCATCGGTTGAAGAAGTTGGTACAAGTGATAGAACCAGAAAAAAGAGGATAACTGTCAATGGAATGGAAGTGAAATTGAAGTATTGTTGGACCTGTAAGATTTATCGACCACCCAGATGTTGTCACTGTGCTATCTGCAACAATTGTGTTGAGAAATTCGATCACCATTGTCCATGGATTGGTCAATGCATTGGATTGAGAAATTATCGATTTTACCTGACATTTTTAGCCACAGCCTTTGTGTTTTTTGCCTACATTTTTGCATTCTGCTTCTGGAGAATCCATAAAAGAGTGTTCAAAGCTGGCACAGGATTGCTTGGCTTGCTAAGGAACTGCCCTGAAACAGTGGCATTGGCATCATTTAGTTTTGCTGCTATTTGGTTTTTGGGCTGCCTTGCTTCTTACCATGTCTATTTGATTGCCATAAATCAGGTTGGTTCGATGTACCTATACTAAATTTCTTTGATGATCCTAGCATTAATTTCTATGACCAAATTTCGAGGCATGGATCTTCTGTACCTTTGTCCAAAAAAATTCACAACTACTAGACTTACTGATGATCTCTTCTTTTTCGTCTCCTCTGCATCTTAAACAGACATTTTACGAGAATTTCCGAAAGTGCTATGTGGGCTCTAAAAACCCACATGATAAAGGGGTTTTAAGCAATATTAAGGAGGTTTTGCTTGTGCCATTGCCACCATCTAGAGTCGACTTCCAAGCAGAAAGTAACACCCAAGTGGTTTGGACGCTGTGATAGTAATGTGAGGTGATTTTTTTTTTTTTTTTTCCTTTCTTTTTTCATAATCAAATTCGGGTTTAAAAAATAGAACCTAGGTTGGCAACAAATTGAAAGTATGTTGTTTAAATTCTTTAGTTATTTGTTTTGGCTGAGCGTGGGTTAACTTAGATTTAGCTATTTCGAATTGTGTTGTTTAAATTCTTTAGTTATTTGTTTTGGCTGAGCGTGGGTTAACTTAGATTTAGCTATTTCGAATTGTACTCTTATCCCTGTCACATAATGTGCCAAAACAAGACTTAAAATTTATTAATTTTAACTCATGATGTGATAAAGAAGAAATTTGAGATAGGACAAAAAGAATTAATGAGAACAGGATCCCATATGTGCCAAAGTCATCATCTGTACTCACTTGTCTTCCCCAATCCGAAGTCTTATCCATAGTTGCATTAACAAGAGTTGAAATGGATTCATTTAAGGCTTTCAATTCCTTGATAGCCATAGATGTCTGCTCCTCCACTACATGAGTCACATCTTGCAATCCAGAAGTCTACCTACACAAAACCAATCATATAAAACATAAGTTGAGAAGTCGAGTGTAATTATATTTTTTATGATAGATTTCACTATATGATATGTATGATCAGAATTATTTATATAGTTGATTCTGTATTCATAATTTTATTGTATGCAATATATGCACCTTTTTTTTTTTTTTGAACGGCGCAATATATGCACCCTTTTCTGTTCCCATCCCATAAAATTCCAACTTTACCCTTCCTAGATACATGTTTTCATTTTCTCACTTTATTGGTGTCCCCTTGGTATCCCAATTCCCTTTTTTGTATTTCACATGCAATTTGTCATACTACATCACATGATTCTTGGTTGCTTGATCCACTATCTTCGAGAGCGACCATTTGAATCCACAGCACATCTCAATAATCTATCATTATTAAAGCCTTTCTAAATCAATAACCATTTGGTTTGACACTTTATGTGCCATCTAACACCATTGAATACTTTAGCACTTTGAAAGCCGAGCATATCATGTGCCAAGCAAAACAAGCTCAGAAGAATACTACATTCAAGATGCGATTTGGTTGCTTACATGGCTTGGCCATATTTATTATAATATATATAATTAATAAATAATCATTAGTCTTGTAATGCATGGTCTTTGATCGATATACCAAGTTACCTTGTCTCGTAGTTAAAGAATGCCAAAAGCAGCATGTTATTGGGAGAAAAAAATATTAAAAGAAGTTATATATCAAGGAATATTTTCATCCTTTTATATTATATAATTAGGCAGATGGTGAGATAATAGTCTTGCTTTCATTTTTTTTTAATGATAATTTCTAATATAAGGAATCAATAATATTTATTATAAGACATTGTTTGAGAAAAATAGAAGAAATGATATTGACACTATCAAAATATGATTATCAAAAAAATTTCATCTCGTCTAAAATTTCTCTATTACTCTGTCTCAATACATTAATAATTATTAAATTATATATAAAAAAATTAAAATATGTAAATCTCAAGATACAGATAAACAAAAGATCCAATTTCGTGCCGCCGAATACATTGTTAAAAAGTGTCTTTTATTACAGTTCCCTATTAAGACCACTGTGTAAGGGCACTTTTGTGTATGCTGGGGTTGGGCACAAGCAACCGTTTGGTGCATTGGCAGGCTTTGGGTTGCTTTAAAGCCTTAAAAACAGAATGTGAATGTCAGAGAGCTTGTGATACACTAAAGTGACCGACACTCTTATAACTTCAAGCAGGGTTTCCTGCAAATTCATTTCATTTTCTTTTTTTCATTTTTTATTTTTTATTATCCACCATAAATGCTTACAGTTTAGAATGACTGAATGCTGTGTTAATTAAAATTAAACAAATGTGTTTGGTTGATCATGTTTATTAACTTAGAAAAACCCCAATTGCGTAGTCTATACTCATAATCAATCATTAGTAGCATAATAGAAATTTAAAATTGGGGGTAAAAGTGGATGATATATATCCCCAACCCCTGTAATATCAATGAAAAACTTCAGGCAAGGTCAATATCACAAACATGTTTATTGATTCAACCTTATTTGCCATTTCTATAAAAAAAACAGTATATACTTTGGTTTCGTTTTCATTTTCGTTTTCGTTTTCGTTTTGCCGTATATTCTATAGATTGAATAGTGACATTATCATCCTCTATAACTTTTAGGATTGTAGTAATGAATAGTGTTTTTATGAATTTTGAATACAACACTTAAATTCGAATATAAACATCACACATAATAATAAGAAATTTTTTTATCCATCATACCAACCCTTTGATCTCTTCCTACATTTGTTCATGGAACCTAAACATGAGATCTAAGCTTATGGCAAATTCTCTCTCTGTACACTTTTTACATGTTCCATATTAGATTAGATCTTCCATCATAATGCATGCACACTCACATGATATTCCGTATTAGGTATTGGCATATAAAACTATGCTCTTATTTTTTTTTAAATTCAAAGAAAGAAAAGCCAAGTTATGCCTTATATTGGCATTTCAATTGGCAAATATCATTAGGCAATGCTTAAAATGAGTATTTTTTGAAATTTGAGCGCATCTTAATGATAAAACTAATTCAAAAGAATTGATGTACCTTAACTTACACAATAACATAAATAAATTTGATCCTTGTTGTTTTTCACCAACATCTGACTCATTTGATCCATTTAATCCTCTCTAAGCCGATCAATCACGCAGTCTTCGTTAAAAAAAAAAAGTTTATCCAAACTGTATAAAACTTCTCAAGAAATATATTCATAAAATTGAGCACTCTAATGAAATCCTCTATTAACACTAGGAAGTAAGCCCGAGATGCATGTTCCCAACAGTCTTCACTTCCTAAGAAGTTATGGTACAAACATACAAACCCATGGAGTGGCAATTGAAGCGTGGACATATAAGTAATTTTATTTACAATCTAGAATCAACATGCCATTATCTATCCTAATCACATAATCTCACTGATTTTCAAATAAAGTAGGATTTTAAATAAATAAAAGGTATAAATAAAACATCAAAAAAATCAAAAACTTATTAAAAAAATCAAAAAATTCAACTTTTTACCTTGTTTGGGTGGGAATGTATGTCTAAAAATTCAGACAGCAAAAAGACAGTTTTCCCCCTTCTAACTGTGACATCCCATCACCCTATCTGTACACACGTGGCACACGTTGGGCCACACAAAATTTGCAGGAGTATGTAAAAAAAAAAAAAAAATGAAATGTAAAAGCTACCCGGCGCTGCAACTTTGTCGGAGGTCCACTCAAGGGTAGAAATGTAATTTTGCTATTTGTTACAATATTTTAATACATATTTTTTCATAAAAAATCAAAAAGTTATTTCAAACATGTATATTTTTTTCCTCTCTTTTTTTTTTCAAAAAGTCAAAAAGTGTACTTATATAGTTCATCCCAAACAACTCCCAAATCTTATTTAATTTAGGTGATCAAAATAAAATATGATGTCGTGAACACTAGATTTTAAATTTTAATCAAAAAGTCATTATAAATTGTCACATTACTATTTTTTTATTATATTTTTTCATAAAAAATTAAAAAATCAACTAAAATAATTAATTCTCAAACGAGACCTGAATATATTTTTTTTCATTGATTTACATGCCCATAATTTTTAAATAAAAAATACTATATTGTAAAAAATAAAAATGTATTGACTTGAATATTAGAAAGCTTCTTCGAGACGAATATCGTCGGGTAGTCCTCACGGTCGTGTTCTTTTGCAGAAATCGAAGACTCGTACTAGATCATCTTATTATCAAACCACGTAAGAAATTCTTTCCGTCCACAAACTTATAAATATTTCAAGTTACGAAAATAAAATTCCTAATGAGCCCACAATCTCTTACCCATAAAAAAATAAAAAATAAGAAATCGAAAAAAATTTGGGATGTAAAGTGACTGAATTGCCCTCAAGAGTGTGAAATGTGAAACGGGATGTCTGCTATTCTGAGTTGTTGGAGAATCATGAAAAGTTGATAATTTCTCGTAGGGAAGGGAGTTCACCACATTATGGCATGTGTCAGGACGGCTCGTGAGGTGGGGCCACTTATGCAGCATCCACGTGGGACAGAATGGAGCCTGTTACTGGATTAATCAACAAAGCTAAGGTGCGCCTCATGAATTGGGATCCTCCCTTTCATCTCTCTCCTTCATTCCCTCCTTGTAGGGCTTTCGAGCCCACTTTGAGATCCAATTTTGATAATCCGAACAGTTTATATTTTAAGATTTATTCAGTATATCATACCTGTAAAAAATCAAGTTGATCGGATATCAAAAAGTATGTGTTCGAAAAACTGTTTATTAAAAAAATAGTTTGTAGTCCCAATTTTCTGAACGCATATTTTCTAATATCCGATCAACTCGATTTTTTACAGATATGATATACTGAATAAATATTAAAATATGAACGGTTCAGATTATCAAAATTGGGACTCAAAGTGGACCCGAAGGCCGCTACAAGGAGGGAATGAAGGAGAGAGATGAAGGGAGGATCCTTGCTCGCGCCTCATGGCGAGTTTCCAAATGGGAGATTGACACGTGTTATACTATCAGATTAATCACGTGCCTGTCTTTGTTTATTTGCATTTCAGCTAATTAAGCTGGGCAAATCAGTTGCCTTTGACCAATCATATTGGAGTTTTCTTCCTAACACTTCGTTTGGGAATAATTAATTTAGTCTAATTTTTGATTTTTTTGGTCGCCGTTTGGTATTCACTTTTTTAATTGATTTTTTTGAGTTGGTATTTTTTTTAATTTGAGATTAAAAAGTTCGTTTGATTTGATTTTTTTAATTTTTTTGACTTTTGTGAGAGAAAAAATAAAATGATTATAGTTTGGATGTAATATTTTGTTTTACTGACTTATTTAACCTATTTTGTCTTTTGTGTTTTTTTTAGCCCAACTAAGCTAGCCAAACGAAGGCTAATTAATTTAGTCTGATTAAATTAGTTTTGTTTGGGAAATTTTATTATTATTATTATTATTTAGATGTGATAATTGTAAGAGAAAAAATAAAATAATTATGATTTAGATATGATATTTTAACTTATTAATTTATTTCGCCTATTTT